ATCCCAGCCGTGCAGACAGCCCCCAGCCATCCACTGGGGGGGGCAGGGAGGAATGAACACCTGGTGGTTTTGTCCAAGGACAAAATCGTATGAATGCCTTGAACCATCCCAGCTGACTGTCTTGTTCACAACAGGATTTAAAAAGGCAATTTGTACCCTGTTCAGATTTAAAGGACCCAAAGCCTTGTTTGAGTTCTATGCAGTCATCTGGAAAGGTGGTGGAGGAGGTGCCCTAACTGGAAACAGACCCCATTAGTCTGGGGCCACAGTTCTCCAGAGGCTGAGAGGAAGGACCCTTCACACCTGTCCCTTGGGTGACTGTCATGTGTTGTGTGGTATGCTGGGACAGGACTTATGTGAGGCATCAGTACAGATGGCTGCGAGGTGGAACTAACTCAGGGATCTGAGGACTCACTGACCCTCTACAGTCCAGACTAAAGGGTAGGTCAGCTCTGTCCTGGATCTCCAGGAAGTCCAGGCTCTCCCCTCCTCACCACCACATCCCAGGAGACATTTCAGAAAAGAGGCTTCCCAAAGGGATGTGAGTTTCTTGGAGCTGCTCCAGGGCACACAAGAAGTGTTAAGTACTCGCCAGGTACCAGCACTGTGCTGAGCCCTGACTCAAAGCCCAGGGGTTGTGAGCAATACTACTCAGGCCAAAGAGGCCGGGCTGATCCAGGCGGAGCAGCTGGTCCTGCAGCCAGCAAGGCAGGGCTGGATGTGGAAGTTCTCACTCTGTTTGTAGGGCTTCAGGACACCCTCCCAATCACTGCCTGTGTTTGGGCAGTGTCCTCTGGAGCCTTCATATCTTGAAGACACGTCTAGAAGGAAAGAGTACACAGTGCCGAGGAAACAGGGCAAAGCGTGCAGCATGTCAGGCCTTGTTACCATGTCAAGGGCCTGCTTCCCTGGGCTTCACAAGCCTTGAGCTCACTGTGGTGCAGCCAGACTTGTGCCAGGTGCAGGTGCCAAGTGGCTGCTGGCCATTCCCAAGTCCTGGCTTGTGATATGCAGGGTATAATCGAGGGGCTTCTGGAGGGCGAATGTCCACTGTGAGCAGTCGGGACATAAATCCTGCAAGCCCTGATAACAAGGGCTGTTCCATTCCTTCAGGGGTACAACAGCTTCTCCTGCAGGTGACCATCACCTCATGTTCTCAAGGGCAAGCTCCATGGCGTCAGGGCGTGAGCCTCCAAGCGAGGCCCTCGAGCCTGCTCCACTTCTCTCCAGGTGCCAGTCGTTCCCCTCCTCTCTTCTCAAGCCACAGTCAGCTTGCTCTCTGTGGGGAGCAGAACACTGAGCAAGGCAGCCATCGGGGCCAGGCGGAGAGCTGGCCGCAGTGCACGTCCTCAGTATGCTGATGGTGGCCTGCCTGAGAGCAGCTGGCCAGTGACAGGCAGTGACGGCTGTTCTCACTTCCATTTCTAACTTTGTGTACAAATAAAACAGCAGAACTGAATACGTCCATCTGTCAGAAATCCCTTTTAGAAAAGCTATTAACCCCTTCTAGAGACCGAGCTCTCAACCACCAGCAGAGAAGCCAAATACACTGGCACCACTGAATAGGTTTCTCTCCCTCCGCCTCCTCCAGATGTGGGTGAAGCTCTAAGGAAGGACTCCTTTGCCTCTGGTGCCCTCAGCAAGCTCTCGTGGGCTGGTGGGGGCTGCAGAACAGGCAGGTGGCATGGGGTTGCTCTGGAGACCATGCTGGGCACATCCATGTTGGCAGTGAATGAAGCACAAACTGATCAGACACCGTTACTGACGGGTTCTGTATCTGCTTATGCAATGGCTCTCAGGAAGAGGTTCACTTGGCTTTCTCCCAACTGCCCTGCCAAGTTCTCAGACCCAGGGGAGGAGATCGCCTGCAGAACTAGTGAGACACACGGAGAGCAAAGACGGAGGCATCTGTTCTCAGCAGCGCCACGAGCCTCTAGCCACGGCGCCACGGCACTCACAGTGAATCATGGTGTATTTCACTCTTCATTGGTGTAATTCCTTTGATCTACACATTTACTGATTCACTACCGGCTCAAATAGGTAAAACCAATACTTGACTCCTTTATAAAGAGCAGAGGGGTGTCCTGATAAAACTGGGCCCCCACAGAAGCTCCTGACATCACCCTGGTCTGGGACTCACATGATGAACACACAGACTCTAATCATCCCTTGGTGAGTCTTCCAAACTAGGAAAAGTTCAGCTGCTTCTGAACAAATGACGGGATTATGGATGCTGAGAATTCTGTAGTCAGTTATATTTTCCACTCTGCCTTGGTTACTAGGAAGTAGACACCAAATTTGCTTTGAACACATCTTTTACTGCACCAACTGTACTACTAGCTAAATTTTATTTCTTTGTCCCAAGGTCCTCATTTTTTTCAATAGAAAAGGTCTTATAAATGAATTCACACATTGCATTAGTCTTGAAAACAAAAGAACTAACACTCCCTGTAATCATGTCACCCATACGTCTCACCTCTAATGCTATCGTCTACTTCTCTGAGATCAGATGCCATCACTGCCCCATGGGCTGCCTCTGAGAATTAACACTGCCCTGCAAATCAGAATTTCCCTGCGAGATGGCTTTGGAGTGCAGTGCCATGTGGGCCCCACGTTAGCCCTGGGGCCCACACAGCTCGGCAAGGACCAGCTCCAGGAGCAGGTCTGAACACTCTGCACAGACTCGCGAGTGGACGTGGCCCACCCGGAGTGCAGCAGAGGCTGCCTCTGCAGGGGAGGCACAGACGCTGGTACAGGGAGGAGGAGAGCCTCCTCCAGGCCTCCTCACTTCTTACAGAACACATGGCAGTGATGATGGAGCATGGGCCCAGAGCCAGACTCCTTGGCTCAAGTCAGGTGACCTCCCTGTGCCTCAGCGTCCTCCTTTATAGGACGGGATATTCTGGGAGGGCAAAACCAGACCTGGGTGTGAAATGAAATTACCAAGACCTTATGGCAAGAAACCAAGGCCTGGGGAAGGGGTTGGTTCTGCTCCCCTCTCAGCCTTTCTCCAGGAAGCCTAATTAACCATGGGTCTCGACCTTTTGGATGGTAAGTAACTGCCCTAAGAGTCTGACCACTCCCTCTTGAAAAGTAACAGATACCTTGAAAAGAGCCGTTTCTTATCTGTTTCCATGAGCAGGCTCCATGTTAGAGACCCTGCACAAGGCCCTCAGCCACACAGATGAGGAATATTTTTTAAAAACATTTTTTAGTTGTTGATGGACCTTTATTTATTTATTTATTTGTATGTGGTGCTGAGACTTGAACCCAGTGCCTCACACATGCTAGGCAAGCGCTCTGCCACTGAGCCACACCCCAGCCCTAGGTTTTTCTTTTTTAAAAAGAAAAAAGCCCCAATGATAAGATGGATCTAAGATGACATCAAATAACATCTAAATGTTGTGAGAAACTAGGGATCAGGGCTCAGAATTTGGAGTTCTTGTTTTTCTCTGGGCCCACCAGCATAAAATAAAGTTTGGAGTTCTCCTGTCTGAGAGCTGCTTGCTGCTCCTCAGTCAGTTCCCTTCGACACTGCAACCCCTGCTTCATGGGTTGCTCAAGGATTGCTGAGTTAATATGTGGCTCAGGAAAGGTGGAGGGCTCATCCCGAGCTCCACGTACCTGCCTGTCAAGAAGAAAGAGGACAAGTGGCCAGAACAGAGTGCGGAGGACTCCTCTCTGACCATGTGTTAGTTGCTCTGAAGCCTGAGGCAAGGGCTGCGGCTAGTCCTTAGTAAGTGGGGCCTGGGGGGACCTCGAGCACGTGGGAAAAAAGTAAGGACCAGAGCGCTGGCTCACAAAACTACTTTACTCTCTTAACTTTTTCACTCTCTAATCACCCCATGCCTCAGTTTTCTCTCCCAAATCGTAAAAAATCTTCCTGCAACAATCTGATATGGAGGTGAATGAAAAACAGGATAGTTTAGAGAGTTATTGATCTAGAATTTCTCAGTATCAAGTTATGCAGTTCCTAATTCTGGAAATAAATATATTTTAACTGTGTTTTAAGATTCAAGAAAAGTGTTATCATGTAAAAAAGTTAAAAAAGCAATTTCTTCAACTGGTCAAGGCACAGGAAAGCAGCACAGTTCTTTTTATCTTTTAAGTTATGTTATGAAGAAGTGGGAGCAGATGCGAGCCTGTGGGCAGGAGGGCCTGAATCCCATGCCGCCCTGCAGAAGACCCTCCGGCACAGCCTGGGCAGGCTCACCTCCCTGCTGGGTGCCGACAGCCCTGGGGCTCACAGAACTCCCACAGGGGAGCTGGCTGTACCACGCTTTTGCTCCCAGCAGCTGCCTGTTGCTGTGGTTTTTAAGCACTTCCACCCAGTGGCTCCCCTGGCCTGCAAGGGGCCTTGCGAGGGGATGCCATTCCTCACCCGCAGGAGGAGCCTCACGGCTGCCCACTGGAAACAGTGAAGATTAAAAATCCCACATTCCTTCCTGACATTTCTTAGCATGAGTCTGATCGGCGGACGCGACGGATGGCAAGCTGTCTTTGTATAATCACTGTCACAACCAGGGGTCCCTCAGCAAGCACCCACAGCTCCTGGGCCCCGGCATCAGTGTGCGAGAGGACTGTGTTTCAGTGCTGCTGCGGTCTTCTGCCTGGCACAGTGCAGGTGCTTGTGACGTGTGGGCGCATGCGTGCTCTGGCACACAGAGGCCTGTCAGAGGGCAGCCAGGCGGGTGCTCATGTGTTACTTCCACTTAGGTAAGTGTTTCTGCTTTCTTTTACCCAGAGAACTGAGACAGGGGAAGCTCAGCACCCAGCTTCACTTATTGAGAGTACTGAGGAAGGGAAAGCTCAGCACTCATGCTCTTCCAACAACCATCCTCCACCCTTGAAGCCACTCTGGCCAGACCAACAGATACCATGGCCATATCAATGTATGATGACTTGGTTTTGAGAAAGGAAGTGGTGCTGGTGTCAGCGGGAGGGACGAGTGCAGAATGGCATGACACAGGTGGGGAGGGGCTGGGGACAGCCGTGGTTACCTTGCTGCAGACGGTCTTGATCCTGTGCAGTCTGTCCAGGGACTCCTGTGGATTGCCCAGGTACTGCTGCAGCTCTGCATGCAGGATACGCATAGAAAAGGGGACCATGGAGCCTAGAAGTGAAATTAAAGCTGGTTAGTCTGCTGCTGTGACTCGCATGCTTCCAGAGTGGTGTCCGTGAAGTAGGCACCAAGTGGCCCAGCAGCAGGGGGGACCCAGCCCCTTTGTTTCTCGAGGTCAGCTGGGCATGTATGCTGGTTTTCTCTGGAGAGCAGGAACTAAGTATCTCCAGATAACCACCAATAGAGAGAGGCTCTGCCACCATCCCACGGAGATGCCAGACAACATGCAGACAGCAGGAGAGCCCCACCTCCTCCAGGGAGAGACAGCGTGACACCCAGGTGCGCGGACATCAAATGAAGGCTGCCCAGGGCTGGGTGAGGCCCTTGGGAGGCCCAGGGAGCAGAACTGCCAGTGTGACGTCAGGCTGGGCATCTTGGCTTTCTTCTATTTTCATGCAATCACCACTTTTCCCTTTCTCTCTCTTTCCCTGTCCCTTTATTTTGGATTAGCTTCTGCATGTCACGGAGAACATGCATCTTGTGACTTTCTGGGTCTGGCTTATTTCACTTAGCATGATGGTCTCCAGGTCCATCCATTTATCAGCAAATGCCATCATTTCATTCTTCTTTATGGCTGAGTAATATTCCATTGTGTACATGGTAAAATCCCATCTACCCTGGTTGGTTCCATAGCTTGGCCATTGTGAATTGTGCTGCTATAAACATTGATATGGCTGGGTCCCTATAGTGTGCTGTTTTTAAGTCCTTTGGGTATAGACCGAGGAGAAGGGATAGCTGGGTCAAATGGTGGTTCCATTCCTAATTTTCCAAGAAATCTCCATACTGCTTTCCATATTGGATGCACCAATTTGCAGTCCCACCATCAGTGTATGAGTGTACCTTTTCCACCACATCCTTGCTAACTCTTATTGTTGTTTATATACATAATAGCTGCCATTCTGACTAGAGTGAGCTGAAATCTTAGGGTGGTTTTGATTTGCATTTCTCCAATTGCTAGTGATGATGAATATTTTTTTTCATGTATTTGTTAATTGATTGTACATCATATTTTGAGAAGTGTCTTTTCAGGTCCTTGGCCCATTTATTGATTAGGTTATTTGTTTTTTTGGTGTTTAGCTTTTTGAGTTCTGAAGATGGAAAGATCTACCTTGCTCTTGGATAGGCAGAATTAATATTATCAAAATGACCATATTTCCAAATGCACTATACAGATTTAATGCAATTCTGATCAAAATCCCAGAGGCATTCCTCATAGAATTAGAAAAAGCAATCATGAAATTCATCTGGAAAAATAAGAGACCCAGAATAGATAAAGAAATCCCTACAAGGAAGAGTGAAGCAGGTGGCATCACTATACCAGACCTTAAACTATACTACACAGCAATAGTAACAAAACAGCATGGTATTGGCACCAAAACAGGCTGGTAGACCAATGGTACAGAATAGAGGACACAGAGACCAACCCACACAACTACAATTGTCTTTTATTAGACAAAGGTGACAAAAACATGCATTGAAGAAAAGATAGCCTCTTCAACAATTGGTGCTGGGAAAACTGGAAATCCATGTGCAACAAAATGAGATTAAACCCCTCTCTCTCACCATGCACAAAACTCAACTCAAAATGGACCAAGGACTTAGGAATGCAACCAGAGATCCTCCGTTTAATAGAAGAAAAAGTAGGCCCTAATCTCCATCATGTGGGACTAGGCCCCAACTTCCTTAATAAAACTCTTGAGGCACAAGAATTAACATCAAGAATCAATAAATGGGATGGACTCAACCTAAAAAGCTTCTTCTCAGCAAAGGAAACAATCTGTGAGGTGAACAGAGAGAGAGCCTACATCCTGGGAGCAGATCTTTACCCCTCACACATCAGATAGAGCACTAATCACTAGATTTAAATCTTAACATGTTTTTGAAAAGAAAATATTTAACATGTTATTTTAAAAATGTCAGTGTCCCTCCACAGAACCTCTGGGCACCCTCGTTCCATGCATGGTGACCATGCCCCCACTCAGGCGTCAGCCACCGGTCTTGACAGAAATGCAGCCCAGGGCTGGGCTCTTCTGTGGCAGGAAGGGGATGGCACATCCTCATCAGGAGCACTGTTCCCACACACTGTCCCCATTTTGTGTGACCAGACATCCTCCAGTGCCAGCCCCTCACCAATACCCCTGAGATGGAGGCAGGGAGGACCACATGCCTCACACAGGTGACATCTTGAAGGATGGACAGAGGCCAACAGAAGGAGAAGAACGAAGGGAACACCCCTTCTAGGAGAAGATGTGGTCACCGAGTTAGACCAGAGCACAGCAGCTGGAGCCTGCCTCTCAGCTCCAGTGGACAGGTGGATCTGTGAGGAACGCAGACACGCCTCTGTCACGCTCTGAGGGCAAACATACGCCAGGCCCTGGACACAACCCACCACCACCCCTGTGATAGCAGGCACAGGTCACTGCTGCCATGTCACCAGACCTTTATTCCAGGAAATGCACATAACAGTCCCTTCACCCTGATGCTGAGCCTGCCTGTCACTGAAAAGCTACTGGAAGTCTCAGCGACATCCTTCATGCTAAGGGTGGCTGTCAAGTGACATACGTATATGAGGCTGCCACACCAACCCTTGGGCCTGCCTCTCTCCTGCAAGGAAATGTGCTCGGGTAGGAAAAGGCCAGTCAGAATCTCCAAGGAAACTTGATTCCATGGATCCGTTTGTGAAAGATTCTCACATCTAGTCTTGACCTGCCAAAATTGAAGTTGGTATAAATATAGTAGAAACATTCTTGTTAATCATTTAGAAACCATTAAATGAAAATACTCCGTCAAAATTCATTTCAGACCACCCCCTACAGTACTCAAAACCCATGCTGCCTGCCATTGCAGAAAGCTAGAGGACATGCACAGAACTCAGCCAGGCTATGGTGGGCAGGGAGAGGGGAAGTCTGCCGACTCGAGGGGCCGTGGTTGGGTGGCAGGGCGGCCAGCAGTGTGGAGCCCCTCCCTCACCAGCTATCTGCACTGGACAGCTGCATCCTCTCTGCGACAAGGACAGGAGGTTGCAGAGTGGCTGGACAGACGCCAACCCACAGCACTTGGCACCACTGCGGGCTGGTACCTGCAAGGAGCCCATTGAATTCTTTGCCCAGCTGTGGCAGGTCAGCTCTGGGCACCACCTCAGGAGTCTGAATGGGCCACTGCTCAGCACTGCCTTCCCTGTCTCCATCTCCTCCCCACTGGGCTGGGGGGCAGCCCAGGGAAAGCTGTGCCTTCAGCTTCCCTCCTTTGGCTACACTCGGCAGGGAAACGCATTGTATGTGTGTCCATCCAACAAGAGTGCCACACTCACAACCCACAAGTCACCTTCCACTCGGGGCTGTATTTCTAAGTAGGAAAAACCTACTGAGAAAGTTGAAGAGAAAAAATCCTACAGCAAGTACTTACCATCTAATGCCTAATTCAGCTAATGTGTCTGGAGTCATGAAACGTGATGGCCTATGTGTCCACTTCACTTCCACTAGAGAGCCACAGCATGCTGGGAAGGCACACCTATGCAGGTGAGCATAGGGGTTTCTGTGTGGCCACCCAGGTGCTGTGTCCCTGGGGAGGACGCACCACTCCTGCTCCCCACACGGTGCCCCTGCTTGCAGATGACTAGGCCACAGTACAGGGCAGCCCTGGGGTGTGTCTGGCAACGTCTTTGGTCCTGTGTCTCAGGACCTGGCCCAGGCCCAGGCCAGCGCAGAATCTGTCTGCACTTGCTCCTGGCACAACCCTATGTGGCAGGAGCTCCCTAAAATGTGCTAACTACAAATAAAAAATGTTATCTTGATGAATTTAAATCAGATTCTCTTTTCTCAGGTTTAGAAATAAGATTTTCCAGAATAGGAGGAGATATTCCTAAAATATGTGACAAAGGATCAAATACCTAGAACACAGAAATAAACCTCAACTAGTGACGGAGGCATTGAGAGTGAGCCTGAGGAGGAGAGCCCGAGGATGCGGGGCTGCCCTGGCTGTGGTCAGTCCAGCAGGGGGCCTGCACGCCCTGGCAGTGGTCACAGCCCTCGTGCACTGCTGTGCAGGTGGAAAGTGGCCCTGGAGACAACCTGCTGCTTGGAGACAAGGCTGCGGCTATTTAGACCTCAGAAACTCAGAGGCAGGGTGCTCAGTCTTCTGGAAAGACCCTAATGTGCGCGGGGCGGCTGTGGAAGTGCATGGATATGCTGATTGGGAAAAAAGCAAAACTAAGACAACACACTCATGATGAGTATTTAAAAAGCAAATCTCACACATAGAGGCACACACTCTTGCTCGCTCTCTACACGTGTTTGGATCTCTGTGTCCACACATGCACATGCGGAGTGGACATGCAAAGACATGATCAGGAAGGATACGTGACAGGCTCATGGTTGTGATGGCTTTCAGGAGGGGTGAATGGGGAGAGGCTCAAGGATGGTATGCCAATGGGCACATCCGTTTTTACAGAAAAACTCTGGACCGTGAGCCCAAATAAACCTTCTTTCCTCTAAGTAGTTCTTGTTAGGTCTTTTGGTCACAGAGACACAAAAGCTTACTAGAACAAAGTATAAGTGATTAGAGGCTGGGTGGAGTTCACCAGAGGCTAACCAAGAAGTCTCCTCTGCAAGCGGCTTCCAAAGGCTTCCTGGAGAGCCTCGGAGTGGTGCTGATGGTGTGGGACCACACCGGACGGGGAAGCTGGGTCACTCGCTCACTGCAAAGAAACCCTTCCCTAAACACTCTCATTGTTGAAAAAAAAATGCATGAAGAAAAATGCTTGGTTAAGAATCTTAAGACTGGCTGGGAGTGATAATCCCAGCTTAGGAGGCTGAGACAGGAGAATCACGAGTTCGAAGCCAGCCTCAGCAAAATCAAGGTGCTAAGCAACTCAGTGAGACCCTCTCTCTAAATAAATTACAAAAAGGGGGGGGGGGGAGCTGGAGATGTGGCTCAGTGGTTGAGTGCTCCTGAGTTCAATCCCCAGTACCCCCACCCTCCCAAAAAACCTTAAGACCATAGGAAAACATTTAGGAGGAACAAGGTCACAGAAGCCCCACAATGCCCTTCTAAAACTTACTGTTTGTCAACACAAAGTACATCCAGTCCAACTAAGAGGACATCAAGTACAAGACAGATGAAGTCTGGAGCAATCATGAAAGAGCTAGTGTCTTTGTTTAATGTTTACATTTTAGAAAGTTTCAAATGTTGTTGAATATAGAGTGAATTCAGACAGGGATATCCCCAATCAGGGCTTCTCAAAGGGACCTAAGGGGTAGAATAGAATGAAAGTAAACAGCGTTTAGTGAAAACGCTATCACAGTCAAGCAGACTTGGGCACAAGCGTTGTGGGGAGCAGTGGTGCAGGCACGTTGGGTAGAACTATGTGCACCACAAGCAGACTCTCAAGGGCCCCTTCTGGAGTCCAAGGTCGGTGACAGGAAGACAGCCAAGGAACACCTGTCTGCTCCTCTGCCCCCAGAACACGGCTCGTGGGATCACTGTGCAGCTCAAGTCCAGTTTCTTGAGATGAGAGTGGCTCACAGCAAGTTAATCCAAACTGTTTTTTTTTTTTTTTTTCTGGTTTTGACATCCTCTACCTGCATGGCCAATGCCCATGCATGGACCTTCCTGAGCACATGATGGTCACAGACTGGAGTGTAGGTGAGTCAGGTCTGAGTAACTGAAACTGTACTATCTTTAGGGGGCACTGTGGGGACCCAGCAGATGCACACATTGGGATTTGCACGACCTCCTAACTGCTGTGTCCCATCTGGCAGAGAGCGTGTGCACTGTGAACAGCTGCTCTGGGTCGACACATGGTTCCTGAGCCCTGGGGACACCCAGGCAGCATGAGAGCATGATCCACGAGGACCGTGAGGAGCAGAACCAGAAGAAAGGGGTAGAGAGTGAAGAAGGGAAAGGACAAGGAAGCTGGCAGAGCACCAGGCCAGGTGGCCCTCACATCCTGTGGCTCTCGGGTCCCCCAAACCTCCAGACCTCAGCCCTGGGCTCTGAAGCTGGCCTGCCTCATGTCCTCATGACTCTTCCAGATGGCAGGCCAGACATCAGTGCTGGGAGCCAGGAAAAATCTAACTGTGTTTCAAGGGACAGAGTGTGACTGATGGAAATGTCAGAAATACTGTTCCTTTCTTAGGTGAAAACAACGACTTCATGATTTTTACACATGATTCATCACATGTCTTTTTATGAATGTTCTGAATGACTAAAAATTAGTCCAATATTTAAATGAAATATATTAAAGCTCATTCATAAAGGTTATTTATTTGTTTGTATTGCTATAATCTCCTTTTTAAAGCATATTTTAATGACTCACTTTGCTTATATATTGCAAGCTAAAATGAAATGAATGAATCAAATTCTTACATTTATGCTTGGTACTCCACCAAATGAAAAGAAAAATTAGTAAGCATTCCATGTAATATTGTGGATGAATGTTATACACGTTAGCTCAAGTGACATATTTCTCCTTTGGAACTGGAATTAGCTGCTCTGTGATGCACAGTCACTGGCTTCTCCTTATCCACACCCCCAGCAGTTCAACCCCAGCCGAGTGGGAAGTGGCCCCGAGGCTGCACATCCTAGGACAGAATGGCCTCAGTGAGAGGCTTTTCTCACAGGAAGCCCTGTCCCCTCCCCCAAATGCTCTGTGAAGACAGCCAAGAATACAACCCTTCTCAGGACGCAGAAGAGAGCACCCAGGTGACCCCGGGCACTCAGGAAGCAGGGCTATCGACAGTGGGGGTAGACCTCCCAGGGAGTCTGTCCACTCCTCTTAAACACCTGTTCTGGGCTCGGGCAGCTGCTGTAAGCAGTTGCTGTGAACCTACATCACTGGGCCTGAAGGACAAGAGCCCAGACTTCTCGCAGCAGCAGCATTAGGGTGCCTTGGAGCTCAGCACCATGAAGGGGGGGGCTGCATGCTCCAAGCTCTGAGCTTGGTTGGTAGCAGACAAATCACCATCGAAACCAGCTGCCAACTCCCAGCAAGGCACAGAGAAGCAGAGGAGCGGGCAGGGACAGGGCTGGGAGCAGCCAGGCAGACTGGAGAAAAATTTTTTTCATCGCTGAAGGAAAACAGATGTTCCTCCTGAGAAAAGGCAGAACCGCTGCCCGCTGGCAGCACTGCAGGCAAGGCCGACTCTAGAGGAACAGCGCCACTTTCCCACGTAGCCCTGCCCTTAAGCGTTCCAGCACCGCCTGTCACAACCACTCCACGGGACTAAGGCTCATTTTCTGTCAGAACCACTCGACGGGACAAAGGCTCATTCCTCTTTTGGGCTGGCAGTTTGCAATCACCCTATAGTTAAAGATGAGCCTCAAATGGTTAGAGGGTGTGAATGAGAAAGGAAGAAGGCAGCACCGGGGAGGCCAGTCAAGTCACATGCTGGGACAGTGTCCTAGAACCCCAGAGATGGCTGTTGCTCTGTGAGGGCAGGGAGGAGTAGTGGAAATTACACATGGAGTGGACGAGCTTCAGGGCAGGTGCACATGGGACCTACTTGCAGAGAAAGAGAACTGTGGGCCACAGGGAGAGGACTGTAAGGCCTGTTCCCCATGATGGCACCTTCCTGCTGCCCAGCCTCCGGTCACTGCTCCTGCTGCTCGCAGCAGGCACATTCCCAGGAAGGTCATCGGGTGTGCTGGGGATGCAGGGTCCCTCTGGGAGGCCCCACTTTGAGGACACTGGCTCCCTGCAGCTCCCTTTTCCTTCTTCCAGCCTAAGCTACTTTTCAAACAAGGGTCCTGCCTGGGATCTCTCCATGGAATGGCACCAGCACCAGAGCTTTAAAATAAACAGGAATAGACGGGCCCTGCCCCCAGGCTGCCTGGTAGCCAGACAGGTGGCACAGTGGCGCTGCTAAGTTGCATGGCAAGTGTTTGTTGAACCTCCAGGAAATTGCTAAAGGCTTTAAAGTCGGTGTGCCGTGTATGTTCCTGCTAGTGGTGTGGAAGGGTTTAAACGTCCAATTACAGCAATGAAGAATTTTTTAATTAAAAACAAACAAGCCAGGAATAGAGACTAGGGGAAAACAGAGCAAGATCCCAGTGGAAAAGATGGGCCTTGCTTCATTGGCAGTGAGGCACATGCAGCACCAGGCCACGAGACATCGGATTTTCCTGTGGAGAGCAGCAGACAGTATTTGCAATCCTAACACCCAGTCATACTGCAGGGTCCTAGCAGGTGCAACAGATGGCTCCTGAGTGACCCCAGGACGCACTGGTGTGTTCTGTCTAGGTTGGTGTGTTTATAACATTGGGTGAGATCACTTTGTAGGCTCAGGCTTGTGGCTGGGCTATTGCTTTGACTCTTCAGGTCTGGCAGAACAGGCAAAGGGAGGATACCCAATTACACACAGCCAAGCAGAGTGAAGTACGCGAAAAGGCACCAACATCAAGTGCGCCGTCTTACCCCTGCGCCCAGGGTACACGTGTGGGTAGTACTCGTAGTACAGGTCGGGCTGGTCCAGACTTCCAAAGGGCTCGAACTCCATTTCGGCATTCTGGAAAAGGCCTAACTTCACGAGCAGGGCCAATCTCACAAACCAGAGCTAAAACGCACGACAAGATGGACCAACAGGTTATGTTCACACATCAAGTTCACAAAGTCCTCTTCCTTATTAACCTGCTATCAGAGCTTGTTTTCTAATGTATCAAAACAAGGGCTAACTTCCTACCTTTGCAATTTGCATACTTACAGGTTTATAGAAATACTCCTGAGTTCACTAACATTAGTGTAAACAATTTTACTAGATTTGATTACTCTAACAAGCTTTTTGAGCAGGGCTCATATGCTAAGCACCACACTAGGTGTCAGAAGATGAAAGCACAGACCCTCCCAGAGGACATACCGAGTGGTAGGGCTGGGGGGGGGACGGTGGGGAGTGGGCATGATGTGGATAAAAAGGTATGCTGAGGGCAGCACTGAAGGACCAGGACTTCAAGGCCACAGGATGGGGAGGGGCCTGCAGAGGACAGTGTGACCATGGCCTCAGAGTGGACAGTACCAGATGCAGGTGAGCATAGCGAGCTCTAGGGTGGCAGAATGGAGACACACGTAGGAAAATGGTGGGGTCTGAATTATAGAGCCACAGAGGCAGAGATTGCAGAACTAAAAGAACCCTAAAGATGACCCAAGTCGTTGCCTGTTCACTGACAAGAAAAATGAGGTTTAGTGTCTATCAATGGATGAGAGAATAAAGGAATCGGGGTATATGTATTCCATGGAATATTACTGAAGTTTAAAAAAAAAAAAGGTAATTCTGCTACTTGTGACAATTATACACAAATCTGGAAGACATTATGTCAAGTAAAGTAAGCCAGGCATAGGAAGAAAAATACTGTGTGATCTGTTTGTGGAAGTTAAACTTAAATTCATAGAAGCAGAGTAGGATGCTATTCACCAAAGGCTGGAATGGGAAATGAGGGACGTTGTCAAAGGACAGTTAGGAGGAGTAAGAGCTAAGTCTATTACAGAACATGGGGACTCCGCTTGATAACAATGTGTTGTAAGAGTGTAGATTATGTTCTCAAAACACAAACACATGTATGAGATAACGAATATGTTAACTAGATTGACTTGGGCATTCCACAATGAATATGTTAAAACAGCAGGTAATTCATCCTAAATATATCAATTTTTTATCAATTAAAAATAAATAGCTAAATATACTTTTTCTGAAATAAGCTTTAAAAACCAAGGAATGAGGTCTTAGGAAGCAGCCGCCCAGGGTCTACAGCAAGCACAGTGGCTGCTCTACTCTGCCTGCAGGCTCGGAGCTGCCTGCAGGATGATGAGGCTTGTCTAACCTGGGGCGGCAGGAAGTGCTTACAGCTTGTGAGCAGGAAGGTGAGACCATCTACATGTGCTTTCAGATCACTCTGACTGCAGTGTGGGGACAGAGGTGAGTGCAGGGGCCAAGGCACCGTTCCAGTGAGGGGCTGTGCTGGTGGTGCCAGGTGTGAGACATGGAGGGAAGAGCCCGCGACTGGGCTGGCGAGGAGGGGCCAAGAGGGGTGAGGAGGTGCAAGGGCACCCGAGGTGGCCTTGCTTGTCCTGTGCAGCCCATGCCTGTGGGCTCCTGGGGAGATCCAGGAGGGAGGAGCCCACCTGCAAGATCTGGGCCACCAGCTTCCCCAGTTACTGCTCTCCTAAGCTTGTTACAGCTTTGGAATATCTGGTGATAATCTCAGTTCTGGGGAGCCCCAAGAAAGTTAGGATTAAAGCTGAAATCTCCCAGCTGGGCATGGTGGCACAGTCCTGTGATCCCAGCAACTCAGGATGCTGAGGAAGGAAGATCACAAATTCGAGGCCTCAGCAATTTAGTGAGGCCCTAAGCAACTTAGTGAGACGTTGTCTCAAAATAAAAAATAAAAAGGGCTGAGGATGGCTGATAATAATGTATTGTATAAGTACTTGTGCACAGTATTTTATATTTGTGTTCTGAGAACACAAACTCTATTCTCTTATCTATTTCCAAGCATATAAAAGATTATATTCTTTAAGTAAAAGGGCTGGGAGTGGCTTCACTCGGTGTTAAAGCTGCTCTGGGTTCAAGCCCCAGTGCTGCAAAAAACAAAACCACCTCCCCAGGGCAGGGTGGGAACTGGAGCACCCTGAAAGCTCCTTCTGGTCTGGGGAGCTCCCTTCCAGCCACAGCTCCATCCTGGACATTCTTTCCACCTTCTCCCTAGTCGGAGCAGGGACGCTTGCTCCAGGTAGAGCACACAGCCTGTGGAGCCCACTCCCCGCCTCGGGAAGCCTTCAGAGCCACTTGGTTTCCATCACAGTAGGAAGCCCCTGCCCACCTCAGGCCAGGCCTGGTCTGCCAGGAGAGCGAGGGCAGAGCACCCTCACCAGGCCTCTGGGCAGCAGAGGCCACTGCACAGCAGGGCCACATGGCAGAATTAATACACACAGACCACCAGGGAAGGAAGATCATGAGTCATTTCACACAGAGATTAAGCTCAGAAAACGAAAATCCCTGTCTTGTTCCCAAATTGTTCCTCCTGGCATGAAAGCCCATGGGCTTTCCTGTGTCCTCAAACCATGACAAGCGGAACACAACACAGCGACCTGGTGGCGGAGGTGCTCTCACCTGCAGCGAGTCCGCTGTGTGGCTGGTGGGCAGCCCACTCTTGCCGTAGCCTTGGCCATGGGCTGTGAGAAGGCGTCCACACAGGTCGACTGCTGCCCTCCAGTTTCTGCAGCTCTGTAAGACACGACAGGATTTGAGAACCAAAGGCTCACTGTGGGCTGCTGGAAGCAGCCCTGAACAGCCACTGAGAATGGGGCAAGGTCAGCTGGCTGGCCAGCGCGTGGACAGTGCCACCGCCAACCTTGCACATGATTAGCAACAGGAGGGCCCCTGTGAGGTGCCGTTCCAGATGACTCACGACAAAATTTTGCAAGTTACTGATAAAACACAGGGAGAAGCCTACCTGGAAAGCTCTCCCAGACCCCCAGCCTATAGGACTGGTTTCCCTTTTAGCAAGATGGCTCTAGCTTGTGATTTCTGTCAGTTTAAAATCAATAATTTGATATTATATTAAGCACCGGATATATTTATTGCTATCTATATGATGTACATGGATCATAAAACTAGGGGCTTCATGTGTTCCACGCTCTATTTTACCAACATGAATATAGTCAATGCATCATGCTAAGGCAGCACGTCATGGCCCACCCATCCATACAGCCTACTTTCTGGTGCCTCTTCTGCTGCAACTGGGGCATTGGGAAGGTTAGAAGGCTGCCAACCTCCACATATCGGTTCATTTTTGGGCTCAAAATATTTCTGCCCCATCCAATAGAGAAAGGAAGGCTGCTAGGCAACTGAGTGAGACACTGTGGGAGGGAACACTTCACGCTTCCAACAAGCCTGGAACAGGCATTGCACAAGCACACGCTCACCTAGCAGCCGGCCGACAAACAGGCTGCAAGCGGTTTGCTCCCAGCAGCACCCACAAGCAGGCAACAGTGGTGAGTGCATGTGTAGCTGAGGAGCTAACCAGGGAGGCAGTTCAGGGTGTGGGCGGCAGGTGGGGGTACAGGCTGGGTGGAGGAAGGGGAAAGCGGTGGGCAGGATGAGTGGGAAACAGGTCAAAAGGGAGCCAAGGACCCTCCAGGCAGAGGCAGCCTCAAAGGACAGAGTGGGCTAGAGCAGAAATGAATCCAGGGTGGCCGGGACACAGACAGAGAGTGAAGAGGAGCCTAAAAATGCTGGGCCATGCAGGAGGTTCCATACTCGTCCCAGGGGCAATCGGACACCAAGGAAGCCAGGGAGTTAGCAATGCGTATGCCAGCACACGTGGCGCAGCCTTTCCACCCGCTAGCTCCCGCGTGCACCTGCTGGCTGGTGGGCAGAGCTCCAGGTGCCGGACGCACAGCGGGGCACAAAGCTCACTGCCCAGCGTGAAGAGCAGTGAGAAGTCCCACGCTCTCCCACACATCCAGAATGCCCTCCCTTGGTGTGGGTGTCTTTCTCAAGGCTGTCAGCAAGGCCCAGCACCTCTCTGTGCAGGACCTCTTCTTGCTGTCTCATGTGGGTGAGGGTGTGAGGGTGGGCGCACACCTTGCCAGACTGTTTATGAGGAAAGCAAGTGGCATGGGGCTGGAACCTCAAGACTGCCTGGGCTGCTACTGTCCCGCTGTGACCTGATGCAAGCCCTTGAGCCCTGGGGTTGGAGTTCATTTCCTGTGCTGAACAGCATTCCCTGCACTCACCTACTGAAGGGCCTCTGGGCTGCCTTTCATTTTGGGCAGCCATGAGTCAAACAACGTCCACAGGCAGGTTCTACGTGGATGTAAGCACTTAACTTTACAGGTAAAGCACCCAGCAGGTAACACAGCAGTTTCCTTGCTGGGCGTGCCATCAGAATACTGCTTTCCAAGGTGACAGTCCCATTGGCCTTCCTGCCTGCAGTGAGGGAGCGTGCCATCGCTCCGGGTACTCATAGTGCCATGTGTGATGTCAGGGTGCGGGTGTGCTCGTGCATGGGTGTACCTTCATGTTTTCTCTGCTAAGCTTCCTCCTCTCCTGGCTCCTTGCACCTGAGGGTGGGCCCCAGCCACACTGTGCCACCAGCCAGCAGGGTGCAGACATCAAGCGGACGACTCAACAAGGGCCTCAGGGTGTGTCTAGTGTTTTCTTTTTTCCACGAGGAGACTGCCATGCACACATGCTGCCAGGCTCTCTGTGACTAAGGCCGCTGCTGCACATGTGAAGTCAGCTGCACCAGAGGCTGCGGCTTCCTCAGAGCCACCCGCAGCCTGGGGAACCAGGCAGAACCACTGGTCAACTGTGAAGAGGAAGTCGGGGCTGCGTTCCTCCCAACTGTCCCAATTACAGCAGAGCACTCAAGTAACGCAGGACTTCCATGTTCTGGTTGACAGCTCACGAGTATTTTTAGACTGGTTAAGATAATTTACTAAAATGCTTTCCAAATGCTGTCTCTAGTCTAAATTTCTATGCAATAATCACTTTATGTAATACAAGTGGCTGTGCATATTCTCTTTGCATTGCAAATGTGAAGGAGAGAGAGGGAGAGACCTGCCAAGTCTGAGCCCACTCTGCGTCTGTGTCTGATAGATCCCACACCCTGGGCCGCTGGTTGGGTACCCCCAGGTCAGCGTTCTGGCCTTGCCTGTTAGTGACACTTGATTGTTTTTTTCCGCCCCCTAGGAACATAGGGAAATATTCAGCTTGTGTATTATACTTCTTATTTTCCTTAATTTGCTCTGATTTAATCTCAGAGATAATCTTCTGGGATAGTTCTGTGAATCTGATACTTAGACCCACTTCCCATGGGTGTCCCTCACCATGGACAACTCCTGGTGATGACGTGAAGGCCTGGGTGTTAATTCTCCCGAGAGCATTAAGGTATACACAGTGGTGGGTGCGCCTGATAGGATCACACATGCCAGGAATCGGGTCTCAACCCCACCTCACCACCTCTCCGCTTTTCTTTCTCCTATTCTCCCTCTTCTGCTCTACTGATCTTCCTCTCACTCCTTTATTTTTTACTTTTTTTTTTTTTTTTTGGTACCAGGGATTGAACCTAGGGGCATTCAACCACTGAGCAACATCCCCAGCCCTCTTTTTATATTTTACTTACAGACAAGATCTTGCTGAGTTGCTTAGGGCCTCACCAAGTTGCTGAGGCTGGCTTTGAACTCACAATCCTCCTTCCTCAGCCTCCTGAGCCACTGGGATTACAGACATGTGCCACCACGCCTGGCCTTTACTAATTGATGATACTTTCTCGATATACATAATGGCACTTGACTTAAACTGAGACCTGGGGGCAGACTTCCTGCAGGAAAGGACCTACACTGGGGACAGGTATGCGCTGGCCCAGAGAGCAGGAGGAGCAGAGCCTTGGAATGGGGGGGTAGGGGAGCATGCAGGGGGAATGGTGAGAATGAGGGGCAGGAGGAAGGCCAGTGAAGACCGGCCGCACAGGAGGATGGTGTGGCCTACGGGAAGGCTATGCAGAAGGTAGGTGAGGCCAGGCTGTGCTGCCATTCACCAGCTTCCCAGCACGCTGGCCACAGGTGACATGCTATCACACTGGGAAAGCATCAGACTCCCTGCAGCAATGGGTGGGTCTAAGGGGCCTAGTCAAAGTGAGAGAAGCAGTCAACAGGATGTCCCTGCAGCCCAGGCTGGAGCGCTGCAAGTGCTGGTGGGCCAGTCCTGCCCGGCACCCCTGGAGTTCACAGGAGTCGGCCTCAGGTTCTTGCTTGTGCACTGCCTGAGGCTTGTGCTTGGCTGCAGTGGAGCTGAGCAGCTGCCACAAGGAGGTGCAGCAGGAAGCCTAGAGGACACCATGCTCTTTTACAGAAACAGTGCCGCTCCAGGGGGACCACGACACACAGGCCAACTGGCACACGAAAGGAAGGCCACGAGGACCTCAGTGTAAGGTGACTGCAGAGCACATTTACACACATCCCTGCGCACACACATGTGCGAACACACTTATACAACCTACCCATGTGCCCACAACATCACGGCCATGTGGCTGGGAAGAAACTGCCCAACATGTCTTGTGAGATGAACATGGGGTGCAAGTGGATGTGACAGCACAGCCCACAAGAAGGGCACCCCATGGCACCAGGGGAGGAGCCCTGCATGACACTGGCATCTGAAGTCAAGAAGCTCAGGAAGCAGAGTGCTCTCGGGCAGCTACAAAGCTGGGGGCAGGAGCAGGAGGACGGGGTGCAAGATGGGCCACATGGGAGGTAGCGGGACCCCTGATACTGTGAGGACAGTATGCAGGATGGGCTTAGAGGGGCTGATGCTGCAGGAGCTTGCTGTCCCTACGGGCACTGCAGGGGAGTGTGAGTGCTGGCAGCCATGAGGACCACGTTCCCCACACTGAGGAACTGAGCTGGAGTTCTATGTGATGGTGGAAAAATATTGTTACTGATGCAACATGCAAAGCACTAGAGATTAATGACAGATATTCTTAACAACAATCCAACTTGCGATAAAGGATCTCTGAGAGAAATTTAAGAGGGCATCTAGTTTTCTAATTCTTTTGGAGGCATTTTGTGGAAAAGAGGCCGCAGAGCTAGCTTAGTGAAACAGGTGCAAAGACACAAGGGCCCAGTTTAGCCCAGGAGTGCAGGGGCGTGAGGGAGGATATGGACATATCTGGATGGCAAGTGGGTGGCACAGTTCTGGGAATGCAGAAGCAGCAGGTGGGCCCGTGGGTCCTGGTGGGATCGTCACAGGTGCCAACACCTCTGCAACACTGCTGTCCTCCAGGTGAGCTGCTCAGACAACGACAGTTAATGCCAGCTCCCTCCCCCACACCTTATCCACATCACAGGAATGGAGGAGACAGGAAGGGGTGAAGCGGAAAAGGAAAGCAACATCAACAGTGACGTGTTCTCAACGTGTCCTTGTGACCCTGTATCTTTAAGCACGTACTGTTTCTATCTTTCCTCTTCTCTAAACTTTCTTGCATCCTCAAATGTTCTCACAACATGATTTTTCTTTCTTTTGTTTTTTGAGACAGGGTCTTGCTACATTGCACAGGCTGGTCTTGAAGTCATGGGCTCAACTAGTCCTCCTGCTTCAGCCTCCTACGCAGCTGGACTATAGGCATGCCCCACCATGGTGGGGGCTTACACCGTGACTTCTTTTTCCTTTCCTTTCCTTTTTTTTTTTTCTTTTGTGGTCCTGGGGGTCAAACCCAGGGCCTT